TCACAATTTTTTTTTTTTTAATGTCAGGAATCAAACTCAGGGCCTCGCACTTGCCAGGCAGGCATGTGCCTCTGAGCTATGGCCCTGAGAAGCAACTTGGGCTGCCCACTTACTTGCTTAGCTCATGGTTCTCTCTGTAGCGCTCTTTCCCCTCCCATTTTTTGCCAGGCTGACACCCATTCTTCTTGCACCCTCCACGTGGACCTGTCTGCTGACCTGTGGAGTAATTCAGAGGCCCTTCCATCCACCTGCTCTTCTTACCACTTTCCATCTGACCAGTGGGCAGTGGATGGACGCTGCCCAGGCAGTGGCCTCCAGTACTGCCCTACAGATAGTCTGGATCTGATATCTCCCAAAGGAGATAGTCCTGGTTCTAGGTGCTACTGGAAGGTGGTGGGCACTATTAAGAGATGGGGCCCCGTGGGAGGCTTTAGGTGAGTGGGGCCATGCCCTTGACCTGGATTGTGCAATGGTGGTCTTAGCTTCTTTTTTGCATCCAAGCTGTTATGAAGTGAGCATGTTCATTCACCACATACTACTCACTGCCACGATGTTCTTCACCACAGGCTCAAAAGCAATGAAGCTTATCCACTATTCATTGAACCTTCTGAAATGTGAAACTTTAAACCTAAGCTGATAAACTCAGGAATTTTATTATAGTAATGGAAAGCTAATATACCCACTGTAAGATTGATTAGTACTTTTGGGTTTACACATGCTAGGCAGAGCTTAGTACTTTTATGTATGTTATCTTGCCAAAGTCTCATTAATTATCCTGTAAAACAGGAATGAGTACAGATAAAGAAACAGGCTCTAGATAGGTTCAGTGATTTGCCTAAGGTCATACAAGTGAAAAAGCTGAGATCTGAACCCAGACCTGCGGGGCTCAAACCTTAGAAGCTATGTGTGTGGAAATTATTGCATACTTTTTTTTTTGAGAACAGGACTCTGTGTTTGGCTTCTGGAATGTCCCAGAGCAGAGTACTCTTCCTTCTCAGTGACTGATATGCTATTACATAATCTCTATGCTATTTCATTGCCCTTCAGTTAGCTCCCTTTCTACTGAAAAAGAACAGAGAGGGACTACCAAGAAAGGAGTTTTGGTTTTTTTTGTACGGGGATTGAAGCCTTTGCATATCATGATTTTTTTTTTTCCTGATACTGGGGATCAAACTTGGGACCTTGTACTTGCCAGGCCTGAACTTATGCTGCTGAGCTATCTCCCCTGCTGAAACCTTTGCATTGAGCTACATCATTATTCCTTTTTATTTGTATTTTAGATACAGATTCTCAGTATGTAGTTTAGGTTGGCCTTGAATTTACTCTATAGCCCAGAATGGTCTCAAACTTGCAATGATCGCCCTGCCTCAGCCTCCTGAGTGCTGGGATTATAGGCACTGTGCCACTGCTTGGCTTGAAGCTGCTTTTTGATGAGGTACACAGGAACACCAACCATCTAAATAAACATCCTCTTTATTTTACCAAATATAATTTATCAGTTAAGTTGACATTTGTCAATTCAGTTATAGTAACTATAAATAATTCTCTTAAGACACAGTTCTGTAACTTTTGAAGGATACAAGAGTAAACCAATATTGCTCCTTGCAGCCAGGCCAAAAGTACATGCAGTTGGTGCAATCAGGGGGGAGAAATGAATCGTCTGTTGAAGTCACTTTCATTTTCCTTCCCTCCCACCCCAGTCTTCCTCTGCTCACGTGCTCCGAGGCTTGGCGTGCCCACTTCTCTGCTTTCTAGGCAAAGGAGGATGGGTTCCCCAGAGCCCTCCAGGACAACATGGCTGAACTCCAGAGACAAGGGAAGGGCGAGTGGCTGGAGAATTCCAGGCCACAGCCTCAGGGTAGGGTGCCTGTACAAGAGTCTGTGTGCAGGTGTGTTCTGACGTGGAGGCAAAGGCAAAAGGCAGCCAGAGCAGGAACAAGCTCAGGCTGGTGTTAACGGACTCAGCTGGACACAACTCCAATTAAAGAACCTCTTTGACTCCTTCGGACTCTAAGACTCTAGATTCGCGAAGGTGGCCTGGGAGGAGATGAAGGGAAAGGACACTCTGGACAGAGGTCTAAGGCAAGCTCTTGGATGAAGGCATAGTGCTGACAGAAACAGGACCACTGCACACACCTCCCTGGGAGGTGGGCTCTGAGGGTCCAGGGGGGAAGCTTAGAGGGATGCTTCAGACAGGCTAGAAAAAGCCTATAGCCCAATGCCTACATTTGCATGTGAGAGTGTGGCTGGCTTTCTGAGCTGCTCAAGGGAAGAGGGCAAGAGGGCAAGAGGTAGAGGCTCTGGCTTCTCCAAGTTCTGTGCTATGGAGAAAAGTAGCAGCTGATGTCTGGCATGCTAGTTCCAAATCCTCTTCTGGGTGCGTGAGGAGTAGAGGCAGAGGGAAAGGAAGGGGAGCAGGGCTGTTGTGGGGTTAAGCAATGGGTTGGTGGTCTGAGCTGTGGTCAGCATTGAAGAGCTGGGATCTGGAAGGAGAGTGAGGCTGAACCTAGTTTGGTACAACAGATACAAATACCCGGAAAAAGGGAACTTTCTCTGCCAGACTGACAGGGGTACGTGGCCCTAGGAAGCTAGAGAATGAGGCGAGGTTAACACTGTGATTCCCTTACCCTGGCTAGTCAGGGCCTGCACAATCCCTATCACCCCGTACTTACTGCTCAATGAACGTTTCAGACCAGGCCTGCAGAAGAAATGCTTATCTTGGGGAGGCTGGGTTTGCTGAATGAAGAATAAACATTTGTGGGCAGGAGCTCAGGGACAGGATATCTGACTCTCCTGGCATGGTTGAAAGAGTCTTTTAGCAAGTAACAGAGGCCAATGTGATCATGTGATTATGTCCTCAGGAAAAACAGCAGCAACAAAACACCCCTGGTTGTCCTCAACCTCCAAGTCATACACATACCTTTTCTGTCCCCCTGGTCTCAGAACTACCTAGCGGGCTCTGGGGAGGGGAAGTGTTTAGAGGCAAGAAATGAGACAAAAGCCTGAGGACAAGGACAGGAACCTTGGGAAACCTATGGGTAGACATGATTCAACAGGGAGTCGAGGCCACGCTCATTTCTTCTCAGACGTGACCTTCAAATAGAAACCAATCAGAGGGAGGGTGGGTGATGTTGACCAGGCAATCAGGAGATGGCATGTTCATGACCTGAAGCCGGTTCACATCCTTCTTAGAGCAGCAGGGCCTTGGTCTAGATGGTGAGAAAAGGACTGGAATTACCAAACCACTCGTCTCCTGCCCAGTGCTCTGAAGTTGGTCCACTTCTACAAATGCATGTGTGTGTGCGTGCGCTGGTTGGGGGGAGTGTTACTTATCCCTCTGTTCAACTAAAAAAAGAACAAAGAAAACAACAAAAGCCATAGCCCACTCACAAAGGGTTTCTCATTAGGGCCAAGACTAAGGTTGCTAAAGTTAAACCAAATGTCTCCAGAACTCACACAGAAACCCCCTGCCCTAATCCACCTCACTCGGAGGCACCCACCATGAAATTGCACTTGGTGATTGTCTCAGAAACCTACTTGTACTGCTTATCTCACTCAGTCCATCTGTCCTTCCTGAATTCTTGCTATCCAAACTTGGCTCAATGTATAAAAATTCCCATTGAAAATAATGAGAATTTGGTATCAAAGTGAAGTCCTCAAAAGATGTGGGAGTGTAGGGTGGGGTAGGGATAGGGGAATAAATGAAAAACTTCAAATAGAAAGTGCAGAGGGACGGGGAAAAGGTTGAGCGGCCAAGTTAGTCCCCGACATCCGTGTCTCGGTCCCCAATGAGCCAGAGGACATGGAAGCTGAGTGCCAGGAGCCCAGTGCCAAGCAGGTCTCCCAGAGCAGTCAAGTACGGGATGGAGAAGTTGTCTGGGTCGAGGCCTCGGCCCCACATCCAGTGCACCATCCAGTCTGCGATGTACAGGAGAATCAGCACCTGGGGACAGAAGGCCCTGCCTGTAGCCATTGCCTCTCTGCAGGGGGAGCCAGAGGCCACAAAGTTCGACTATTCGGTGTATCACAAGGCTTGGCCAGCCACTGTTCTTGGGTTGAGACAGCCCCAGAACCTGCCCACTCTGGCAACCTCTGTTTTTCCATCCTACAGTTACCAATGGGAAAAACGAGAGCTCTTCAGAAAGGAAGAAGTTGCTGCTACTTTGGGGTCACTCCCATCAGCACTACATTCTGCTCCCCAATTCACCATTCCTCATCTAAATCCTACCCCCGCAGGAATTCAGCACTCTTGCTTTTAATTCTGGGTCACTCCAGTTCCTGCCAGGTTGGCCTCTCCAGGATCCTGGCAGCGGACTGGCATCTGGACCCAGCTTTTCCAGCAGAGATTTCTTCTCTGGGCAGAGGGGGATAAGGAGATTGCTTGAGGCTGCTGTAGCAACAGTTTTCTGAGTAAGCTGGCTTTCTCCTGACCCTTCCTATTCTGCTGTTGTCAAAGAATGCAAGGTTAACATTTGTCCTTGTAAAATAAAATTGTCTGCTAATAGCAGACAGTGCATAGCAATTCAAAATACTGGCGAGATGGGGCTGGCGAGATGGCTCAGTGGTCTAAAGCACCTACTTAGAACAAGCTTAGCAAAAACAAAGGGACAGCAGTTCAATCCCCCAGCACCACGTGCCAGCCAGCCCCGCCCCCTGGTGGGCTGTGTTGGCCACACACACAAATAAATAAATAAAAAAAAATTAAAAAAAAAAACACATGAAGTTATAAAAACAAAACAAAACAAAACAAAACAAAAAAACCACAAAATACATGTCAGATTGTCTGCTGTTTTGATTTATCTGCGCCCTTGCTTACCTTCTATTACTATAGATAATTAAGAAGGATCTAGACAGATTCTTGCTAATGGGTCCTTGCATTAACTATAGCAGAAGCCTTGTCAGAAATGCAGAAGTGAGGCTGCATGCTCAAAATCCTGAGTCAGAACCTGCATTTGAACAAGATTTATACTTTTTTTTTTTTTTTTTCTTTCTGGCAGAACCGGGGATTGAACTCAGGCCCTTGCGCTTGCCAGGCAAGCGCTTATTCTGCCGAGCCATCTCCCTAGCCCCAAAACTTATACTTTGGAATTGATGGTACACTTGATCTAGAATCCTGTGGTGGCACCGGCCTGTGCTTAAATGACTATGTCTGTGTGAGAATGAGATGGTTTTTAAAGGTTAAACCCAACACAGTCACATAAGAGGTTTTATTTATTTTTTTTTTTGTTTTTTAAGACAGAGTTTTCACTAAGTTGCCCAGCCTGACCTTGAACTTTAGATCCTCCTACCTCAACCTCCTGTGCCACTACACCACCATGCCAGGCTGGGAAATTTTATTCTTGACTCTTCTGTGAAAATACCGTAGTGTGTAAAGTCCACCCTAAGGGGCCCAGATGCAGGACCAGAGCTCTTAAGAGCCAGAAGCCAGAGGGGATACCTATTTTTAGGCTAACTTGATTGCTGTCCTGTCCCTTCTCCAAGGAAGTCAAGGGTTATAGCCCCAACACCATCCACACACCTTTCCCCTGCATACAGCTGTACTCCTGTGACCCCGGCCCTGAGTGAAGTTGCACCCCCCACCAATTAATCTCATACTCTTTCTAGCAGCTGCAGAAGAGTGCAGAATAAAGAATGTGGCCAGGGGCCCTGTGGGATGTGCCTCGGGATGGGAGTGGCAGCAGCTGTCCTCATGTCTAGTCTCCTGAGCAGCCTCACACACACGCTGGGAAGCAGCAGCAACAGGATCAGGAAGTACTTTACAGGGGATTAGATGTCACACCCTGCTCCTCCACAGATCTAGAGAAGACAGCAGTGGCCAGGGTGTCCTCTCAGGCATTCGTGACAGGCAATGGGACCGAGGGTTCTCCTTTTAACCTAGGCCAAGGAATGAGCCAAAAACTTGTGCTATGAAGCCTTGGCTACACTCGACCCCACTTGCAAGGGAGCACTCGGGTAAGTGCAACTGGGTAATGGCACATGGTTGCTTCTCAGCCAGGCCCTGCTGTGATTCCTACCACACAACCATTCTATAGCTGGGGACAGAGGGCTGGGGGAGGAGGGTTTTATCAGAAGAAGACCAGCTACGTAAAAAGTAGCAATAGCTGCACTCTCACAGCCTCTCCTTTCATCATGGAACCCTTTACTTAAATGAAACCTAGGCTGGGGAGATAGCTCAGTAGAATATGTGCTTGCCTGGCAAATGCAAGGTCCTGAGTTTAATCCCCAGTACCGCCAAAAAAAAAAAAAAGAAGCCCAGCTTTCTGCATACAGCCAAGCAGAGCTCTGGCAGGCCAGAGGGGATGACAGCCATAGCCCACCTGCTGAGTATCCTACTACCACTTGCCTGAATGCCCACCCCTGCTCCATTCCTCTCAAATTTCTGATGAACCACGAAGGCTCAGAGAAGAGAAACAACTGCATCAAAATCACATAGTATTCCATCTGCTGGGTCTATGCATAATCTATTCTCTTGAGCTCTGTTCCATGGTTACTGACAGCCCAGATCCAAAGAAAGAGTGGCTCGGTATCTAATGCCCCATCCCGCGCCTCTTCTCCCATCTAGCAGGGAAGTCCCCACCCCTCCCTGTGCCCACTCAGGGCTGGACCATACCTGGAGCAGTGCAGCTGTCATGTAGAAGATGATGAAGATGAGCGTGAGGGTGGTGTGCCCACCCTGCATACAGCTGATGGTGTAGAGGAACACCAGGTGCCCTGGGACCACAAGAAGGAAGAGGACCCGGGCCGAGCGGGAATTGACATCTGGGATTGGGGGAGAAAGTGTGAGTAGCACAGGGAGAGGAGTCCTGGCTCAAGAAACTCATGGTCAGGGGGCCCACACCATATTCCAGGGCTGCAGACAGCTCACTGCCCCTATCTTTTCATCTCTGGTTCCTCACTACCAGGGAATTCCCAGTTAAGACAGCTTGTCTGCCTGGGCTCTACCATCTGGAGCATAGGAGAGCCTTGTGCAGAGCCCAGCACAAGAGAACCTTGGACCTGAGTCCCAGCTGCTTCCTCCTTCCAGGGCTGCAACAGGTCTGGGAGGCTGAGAACGTGTCATTACCAGGACTGAAGAAAGTGGTGCAAGGACTGGGGCAGCGGCGAGGAGCTTGCTCAGAGTTCTCCCCAGGCATCCCATTCATGTGCAGGAAGGTAGAGATGCGGCTGGCCTGCACTGCCACCAGATTTCCCCCAACACCTGTGGAGACACACAGGACTTAGACAAGGGCAGCAAGCAGCTGGGTGAGATGGTCTCTTACTCTTTATCTTTTATCTGTAGAGCCACTGTCTTGTGTCTTCATTTATGCTCACTTTCAAGTCCCCAAGGGAAGAGTGAGACACTAAGAAAGGAGTTTCCCAGGCTCCTGTCTTCCTTTCTCTGGTATGACTGTGAGAGTCCAGGAAGGACACAGACCACCAGCGCTGGTCCCTGCCCCTCATGACACATGTATCACCGAAGCTCAGCTGTACTGGCCCAGAGGATCTGTAGGCTCTGAGCCTGCTGACTCTACTACTACTATGTGCAAAGAGCATAGAAGACAAGGCCCAGCCTGCCTCACCTGCTCCATAGCTCCGAGTGCTCAGCAGCCAGTACTCATGTGCTGGTTCTGGTAGGCAGCTTTAAGGAGCAAGTTTGAGCTCCAAGCTCTGGAATCAAGTCTAGACCTGTACTAGCTACTCTGTCTACTGCCTGCTCTGCTCAGTCTTGCCCTGAGCATGGGAGGCTGACTTCTCTAAGCTGCATCTCCCAGTCTCCTCGCTGAGTGTTTCTAGTCAGGTAGAAGCAGTGGAAGGCAGCAGCAGGTGCTCAGAGGGTGGGAGACAGTGGTCAGGGCTTGCCACTGGTGGGGGCAGAGGTGAACTCACTGAGCTGCTGCAACCTAAGTCCCAGGTCCCCTGGCTCCTAAGGACTAGAGGTTTCCATTGTTGCTAACTGCTGGGTACCTTGACATCCCTTTTCAGTCCTTTTACCCTGCTCCTACTTGTGAGCTTTCCCTTCATGAAAGGCTTAAGCTCTGAGCTGGATTCTCCTGTCTGTGAGAACAGAAAGCAGCCCCCCAAGTCCCCTCCCACCTTTTTCCCTGACAGCTGATGTCAGGACCTTACCATTAATTACGGGTGTGAAGACAGCCATCCCTGCAAAGTTGGGGTTTGAGACAGTCTTGTCTAGGATGAGGCCTCCCACGCTAGAGACACAAAGACATTATGACACAAAGACCACTGAAGGGTTCTCCTCTGATCTTTGGGACAAGAGGCTTAGGCCCACCCAGTCTTGGGGACAAAGGGAGACCTGGGGACTTCCTTATCTTTCAGCTCTGCCAGAACCAGTTGCTCCTGACTTGGCAAAGTGATCCTAGGGCCAGATGGCAGTGCCAGGTCAGGCAGCCACCTCCCATGCTCACTCTCCAGGCTGCCCGGAGGAGCTGCCCATAGCATGGTAACTTCCGGCATTGTCTCTTAGGTATTCATTTCCTTTTCTGGTGCCAGCACTGGGCTCTTTCTCAGGGAACCACCTCTCATAACTCAGTCACTCTGGTCCAGATGACACTGCTTCAGTGATGGCTAGGATCCAGACTACGCAAGCAGCAGTACCGCATGACCAAAGCCACAGTGACTGGCTCAGGAGTCCACATGTCACCAGATGAGAACCAATGAAACTCCACTCTGAGTCTTTGTGGAGTTGAGGGGGAACAATCTCTCTGCTCCCACTGGAATTGGGAGGTCAGCAAATTGGAGGCCACCGAAGAGAAGAGATGGCGCGTCTTGGAGCTCTGATGATAACGTATGTGTCCCTAAATCCATCTGTGCTGTTTTAGTTTCCTAGGCCAATACATTTTGCTTTGGAATGAGACCCAGACAGTTTCTGTCACTTGCCACAGAAGGACATGGAGCTGACCCTCTACTAGATGCATTATTAGTGCCTGCTCCGGCCCCCTCCAGCATTCCAAGTGGAGGCTCTGCAGGGTGGGCGTGAGGTGGGGTAAGTATTCAGGGCATAGCCTACCTGCTGATGGCCATGGCAATGATGACAGGCTCCCAGCCCGAATATAACACTTCCCTTGTGGCTGGGCTTCGTCGTGCCAGTACCACCCAGACAGGCAGCAGGGCCACGAAAAAGGCACATACCAGGGGGTAGATGTATCGCCAGTGATCTGGGAGGGCAAAGAGCAGAAGGAGATGAACATTGTGTCTCCCTGTCCCAGCCTCTCCCTGGCTCAGCCTGCAAGTGCCCCAGCGGCCTGATAGCAACACTACACTCAATGCCTGTCAACAGGCTGCCTCTTTTGATGGTCACTGCAGGCCAAGGAGGTAAATGGGCCAGCCACATCCATCTTGTACAGGAGGACACCAAGGCAGAGAGCAGGCACCAGGGGCAGAGACTGGATTCCAAGTCTCTTCATTGGACCCTGCCAATCACTATCTCCTACCCAAGCAGAAACACATGTATGAAACTCTCCCAGAACCTCTGCCCCCTCCCTGATCTGCAGTCAGTACACAGCCTCTCCTCTCTACAATAAGTGTCCTGACAAACTGTTCACACCAAATGGCTAAAAACATAGAAAAACATCCTTGCACATTTGCAAAATGGCCACTGTCTCTCTGTGTTCTACCCGAGTCCACCCAAGCTACTCCTGGTGGCCTCAGCCTCACTCAGTTCCAAGTAGAGTCCCCAGCTGATGCCTGAGAGCAGTGCCAAGGTGATGAGGTCGCCTAGGCTGGCAGCAATGGGCGTGGCCACGTTGTCTGGGTTGATCCCAATCTTCCGAGAGCCAATGATGACTCCAATCATGATCATACCTGGAGAGAAGAGAAGTGATAAAGCAGCACCTATAAACAAAAGAGAGAACAGAAGGGCCAGGCATGGCCCGCCCAGTCGGGGTATCCCTCCTTAGTGTTGTGCCCCTTCCCTTCCTTACCCAGCACCAGGGAGGCAATGAAGGCTGTGGCCACACTGCTGGCACACAACAGGAAGGCATGTGGGATACTGAAGTGGCCATCGGGGATCCAGCCAAAGATGACGGCGGCAATGGATGCCAGGAAGCCCACAACCGTGGCCTGCACCTGAGAAAAGGTGCAGGGATGTGCAGGGTCCAGGAGCAAAGGCCTTCCTAGCTGCGGTCACTGAGCCCTCAGCAGCCCCAGGAGACAGGTTGGACGGGGCTGTCCCACTCTCTCAGGCTGGGAGGATGTCTTTATTTAGTTTCACACCAGACACTAGTACTGGACAGTACACTTGGTGGGATGTAGGAGATTCACTCAGACCTGAATTAGCCTTTTAGAGATCCTGACGAAGGGAGAAGCTTAGTCTACCCATCCCTGCTATCTTACCTGGATGAGGGCCATGTTCCCAGTGATCATCCGCCAGAGCTCCTTGGGTGTATCCATTTGTCCAATGTTGGCCTGGGAAAGGGAGCATGAAGGGCTGGAGCTCCAGGCTAGAAAAGGCCTGGGGTGAAACTGTTAGGTCCTTGCCTGTATTGAGAGGCAGTACAAGTGCCTAAGACTCAAGAACCACAGTGCAAAAGTTCTAAAGGAGTGAAGTAGGATGGGGGCTCAGGGCAGGAGGGAAGGAGAGAAAGAACCTGAGCTCCTACAACTGGAAGAGGTTAGGAAGGGGGTGCCTCAGGCAGCTATGTCTCTTCCTCCCAGGATGCAGGGGAAGCACCAGGTTCCATCTTTTGTCCTGCCTCTCTGGGCAGCCCACTCCTGCATGACCTGTAGACCAACCCAACCTCTAGCCCTGAACCTAGTTTGCCATCCTAAGGAAGTCAAGGGCTTTGTCAGTGGCTGTCTCAGGTGTGAGAGCTTTTGGGGAAGGAGACTGGCATGGGTGGGAGCAGGGTAGAGCATGTTGGGGTGGGTGAGGCTGGTGGTCCCTTCTCCAGACTCTTGGCCATGCTGGGATATCTTTGTCCTCTTGAGTTTTACCACCTCCCATCTCCCATTTCACAGCCCTATATCTGGGTCAGTCCTTGCAAGGTCATGGCCGATCTGAGTTGTGGTGGTTGGGACTGGTGAGCAGGGCTCCTTGTCTATTCCCTTAAAGAACAAGCTGCCACGGAGAATGGAACAACTGGGAGGGGGCAGGGAGGGCTGGCTCTGCTCCTGCCCAGCTGCAGAGTAGGGCTGGAGATCAGAGGAGGCCCCCACCTGTGCTGGTGGAGGGACCAGCATGATGCCTGCCTGTCAAAGCTGCACAAACAGTCACGAGGCAGGTTTCAAAGCAGGGGGTGGGGCAGGCATCCAGGGACGGCTGGGACATCCGTAAATGGAGCCTGGGAACCACTTTGGGCAGGGAGCCCCTGCCCATGAGCAGGACGCTCAGCCTGGGATCTCCCTACACCTGGCCAGCGGGGCTCTTCCCTCTCGCTCCTGCCCTATGTTCCAGGTCTGAGCAGTTGAGTAGCCATCTCCCAGTTTGGTTCCGTGCTGCCCAGAGTCTGCTCTGTGGCCCCACCCCCCCCAGGCAGGACACTCACTGCGGTGGACAGCCTCGATGCCAGAGTCATTTCCAGGTTCCCCTTGAGCCCCAGCAGCGCCGGCACCAGAATGAAGACCTCTGTCACCTTCTGGAAGACCTCCCAGTGCTACAAGGTGAAAACAGAGCCCAGGAATTTCATTGCTCCAAAGGGCTGGCACGGGGACTACTCGGACAGTGTGGGGTCAGGGGCTCAAGGAGGAAACAGATCAGGAGGGAGTGAACACACCAGCCTCCTCTCCTCCAAGGGCCTTGGGAGCAAAGAAAGACCATGGTTTCCAAGGAACACAGTCCTCCTTCCTGGGCCTAGAATAGGGGAGACCCCCTAGCCTGGCCCACGCTGAGGCACCCAAGCTGGCTCATGCCCGAGAACTCTTTTGTGATTTCCCTTCGACCCCCATCCCCCAGTTCCTTTGCCTTTAGTCCAGTTTCTCTGTGGCCTTGGCCTTGGGTGGTGTTGTCTCAGCTGTGGAAAGCTGGGCTCCATAGGGTAGGGGCTGGGAGATTAGAGCATTTGTTTGGTTTCTATCTGCACAGGCTTTGGGCCTCAGCCACAGCAACTCTCCTGAGTAGGCTCTGAATTCAGAATGTGTTTCAGGCTGGAAAAAGCTTGGTCTGCAAGGGGTTTTTGTTCCTGCTTTGCACTCCCTCTCACCCCACATCCTTCCCAACTCCTCAGCTAGCACACACAAGTGCACTCCTGCAGGAAGATCACTGGCCTGGAGTCACAGCCTCTAGGGTCTCTGTACATGAGGACAGGGAGACACTACTTAACATAGGAGGGAAAAAGGCAAGAGCCAGGGGTGCCTATTTCTATTTGAAAGCCCCTTTAGTCATAATGGAAACTGAGGATTAAAAAAAAGGCTGGGGGCTGGGAAGATAGCTCAGTGGCACAAGCACCTGCCTGGAAAGTGTGAGGTCCCGAGTTTGATTTCCAGTTTAAAAAAAAAAAAGCTAGGATTGTGTAGTTTCCCTGGCGCTGATAGGCAATATACTTTCCTTTCTTTGTCTCTTTATTTGTTTTAAGAATGGAAAACCTCCAGGTTCGGATAGAAAGGAGGGGCCAGGAGCTGGGCAGATGCAGGCAGGTAGGTCTGGAGGCAGAGTACTGTAATGGGCCAGGACACTGGACTGTGAGGCTTCCTATGAGATGTGGGAAAGGGTCTTGTGCTACTGCTAACAGACCTCTTCACAGAGTCCAGCTGAGGACCCCAGACAAGTTACCAGGTTCTCACAGTGTCGGCTGAAACGGTCATCCTGGGGCCAAAGAGTCCCTAACAGCAATCCCAGCCCTGCCATTCTATTGCTAATGATGAGCAAGGGTGCAAATCAAAACCATCATGAAATGCTGCCTCACACTCCTTAGGCTGGCTGTTAGAAAACAGGCAAGCAAGCAAGCAAACAGAAAACAAGTGTTGGTGAGGGGTGTGGAGTACACTGTCAGTGGGATTGCAGGTGTAACTACTATGAAAAACAGCATGGAAGTTCCCTCAGAGAGTAAAACTAGAGCTGGGGCTTTAGCTCAGCAGTACAGTGCCTGCCTGGCAAGTGCAAGGTCTTCAGTTCAATTCCTCATACCAAAAGAAAAAAATAAAAACTGCCAGAGTCAGGTGTGATGGCACACACCTGTAATTCCAGCACTTGGGAGGCTGAGGCAAGATGACCCTTGTAAGTTTGAGACCATCCTGGGCGACAAAACAAGCTCAAGGCCAGCTGCACAGTGAGACCCTGTCTCAAAGACAAAAAAACCCAAAAAACAAACTGTTAAGTGACCTAGCAATCCCACCTCTGGGCACTTACCCCAAAGAACTGAAAGCAAGGTCTTAAAGACATACTTGCATACCAATGTTCATAGCAGCACTATTCATAACACCAAGAAGTGGAAGCAACCTAGATGCCCATCAGCTGATGAATGGATAAATAAAATGTGGTCTACCCCTACAGTGGAACATTACTCAGCCTTAAAAATGAAAGATAGCTTTTCATGTACCATGACATGGATGAATCATAAGGGCATGCTGTTTAATATAAGGTCAGTCATGCCAGGAACAAAACACAAGCATTAGGGGGCCAGGGAGATGGCTCAGTGGAATAAGTGCTTCCCTGGCAAGCACAAGGGCCTGAGTTCAATCCCTGGCTCCACCAAAAAACAAAAACAAAAACAAACAAACCAAAAAGAACACACAAGCATTATATCACATGATTACATGCATGTGAATTAGGTTTATGTAGTCCAATTCTGAGACTGGAAAGGGTAAAGGGGATCAGTGTTTCATGGGTATAGCTTCTGTTGGGAAAGATGACAAAGTAGTTTTGAAGATCTGTTGCATGATACTATGAATACATTTAACACACAATAAGTCTGGTTAAAATGGGAAATTTTGTTATGTGTGTATGTGTTTTTCTTTACTACAATTAAAAAGAAAGAGGGGATAAACAAGACTATCCAAGAGGGCCTGAGCGAGGGCCAGTGATGCAAAGAGGCTAGGCACTGGGCAGTCCCACGAGGGAAGGGCCTTCTTTTCTCATTCAAGCTTCTGGTGTGTGTGTACACTTGCATGTGCGTGTGTGTGTGTGTGTGTGCACGCACATGCATAGGCACATGAGCTTGTGCAAGGGGCCCTAACAGGACCCCAGGGAAGGACTCATTTCATGAAGGTTAGAGCACACACTTGAAGGTCTGAGCTCCTGTACTTAGGATTCTTCTTAGGGATCCTACAATACCTAGTACTCTCCTTGGGGAAGCCTCTCTGTTAACTGTGGAGAGGAGGAGGTGCCCCTCTACACCAGTGCCAGAGCTTTAAGGCAGCCCTGTAAGAACCTGCCCCTCCTCACCTCTACAGCAGCCCCAGTGAGCCTGTCAGCCTAGGGGGAGTGCCGGGATGTCCGTCCAGACACTGCTGGAGCCCACCCTGGGCTCCAGCTCCCTGTGGTCTCAGCCTTTCTTGGCTTTGTCTTGTTCTTCCTCCCAAACTGCACTGGAGCTCCAGAGGCTGAGCATCCCTTCCTCTCTCCAACTGATGAGGGTGCCAACTGGGGGCTTCTGAGGGTCCCCAGAGAGCACAGTGCATGGCCAGCCCAAGTCATATGTCCAGATGCTTCCAAGACACCAGCCCTGTGCAAACTCAGCTCTCCAGACAGGTGAATGTAATGGGCATGTGCCGACAAAGAAAAAGCCCAAAGAAAACATTCCAAGCGCATGAAGTGAGTTTTCTGAATTGTTCTTAGGACGATTGCTTGTTTTTATTAAGAAAAAAAAAAGTATGAAGCTCAGCTAGGTCCCTCTGGCTGACTATAAGCACCCCTGAAACACTCCACCTCCCTGAACACATGCACACTCTTTCTAATTGCAGGAGGACTGGGGGTGTGCGAGTTTAAGGGGTGAGCTGAATCAGATAGGAGAGGGAGTGAGCAGGCATACCATGATCCTTGTGCCCCTGTGCAAGCCTTCTTAAAACTCAGACAGTATAGCCCAAACTTACACTGTCTCACCCCAGCCCAGCAAAGCCCTAGCTGGTACTTGGGCTACCGTGGCCAATTCCTACACTTGTTTCTCCTTCACCCACAAAACAGTCTTAAAGATACAGCCCAGGTAGGGGAGGCTGTGACATGCAGGACCACACAGGACTCTGGGAAGAGGTCTCAGCAGGCTGCTGATTGGGAAGACCGGGTGGTCCTGAGGTCAGGAGTGGGGAGGATATGGCAGGGGTAGACAGTGAGTAGCTTGTCTTTCTCCTCTGGATGAATTCAGGTCCATCCTGTTCATCCTGGCTGGGAGTGTCTTTCTTTGAAGTCAAACCAGTCAGCCAAGCCACTGGCCTAGCTGCCACCCACAGCTTCCTGCTCTGCTGGGATGGAAAAAGAGTCTGGGAAGCCCTATACAGCACCCAGTGTGTGTGTGTGTGTGTGTGTGTGTGTGTGTGTGTGCACGTGCACGCATGCATTTTTACTACTTCTCAGAATCGCAGCTCTTCTTTCTCTTTGGAGCAGGTGGCTCATTAGTGCCTGATACTCTGAAAGCCAGGAATAAAATTGCTCCCGTCATACTCAAAACACACCCTGATTCTCAGCAATCACCCTTGGTCTCAGAACTCAGTGGTCCTTCTGGTACCTCTTTCCAGTATATCCAACCTCCTCTTCCATCCTGCCCCTCTGATGGCCTCACATATTGATAGTGCTCCCCCACCTGCCTTCAGCTCTTCAGGCTTAGCCTTCTGTTCCAGGAAGGAAGTGGCAGGGAAGGAAGGAAGTGAGGCCCAGGAAAAGACAGTAAATTCCCAGGCACAAGCTCTACACACCAGGTTGTAAGTAGGCCTGGGAAGCTGGGCTGGAGTGGACTTGTCAGGGTGAGCCTGGGTCAGGTAAGATCATAGTAACCCTGGTCTTCACCTGCAAGCTTTCCCCAGAGGCCACACCTGAGTGAGTGTCCAGGGCTGTACAAATCTGAAAAAAGCAAATGGGATCCTGAGAACATGCAAGTCACAGCAACAGGCAAAGCAGACGGTGGTCAAGGGAGACGGGCTCTAAGTGTCCCGCTCAGGAATGCAGAGGAGGGAGAAAGCCAGCAGCAAAACCACTGCTTCTCTCCCACTGATTCCCCGAGGCCACACTACCTCAGTAGACTCTTCTGTATGTAAAGAGAAGGGGGGCTCCAGGGAGAGAGCCTACTTAGTTAGAAGCTGGGAGACTCCCAACCTCATGCATCAGGGAATTCTTATGGGGGTCCTAGCTCCTGTTACTCCATTACTCACCAAGGCTGGTGAGTAATAAAAGGCAATGAGATGTCAGGGGTCAGGCACAGGGCACCATGGTGTGGGGCTCCCCATCTGATCCCCCTTTCAGTACTAGGGATTGAATCTAGGGGCTTGCTTGCTTGCTTGCTGTCTGTCTGTCTGTCTGTCTTCCGATAGGATGTCACTAAGTCTCTAAGTTACCCAGGCTAAGCTCAAACTTACGATCCTCCTGCCTCAACCTCCCATAGCATCCCCTTCTGAAGCCAACATTAGGTCCAAGGCTGTTTCTCTCCCAAATGCCACAGGAAATTTGGCCACAGTGGGCAAGCCAGAGCCAATGGAGCCCACTGATCCTTCTGCTGCTTTGGTGAGCATCCCAGCTCCCTATTTCACTGCAGTGGCTCCTGTACATGTGGAGGGCAGAGGACAGATAAGAGAAAGAGGCCTTCCAGGAAGAACCTAGTCCTCAGTGTAGCTTCAGACACCTGAACGAGGCCCATACAGACTTCTGCTCTGACACCGGGACCCTCTATGGCCACCTCTTCCAGGTGGCCCCTATCTCCTAGACACTTGTGGCCTCTGTCTCACTGAAGGCCATGTTAAAGGAAGCAGACAGATGTGAATCCCTAGAAATTACCCTGCAACTCCTGCCTCTGAGGTTCTCAGTTACTCTTCTCCCTCCCCTGGATGTGGGATAAGAACCTTCCTATGGTCACATGTCCCAGTCCTCCTGTGCCCACCCCTACACAAGATCTTGTTGCAGCCATCTGAGGCCTTGCCCCGCCCAGCTGTGGTGGGAAGGCTGGGGGGTAAGGACAAATAAGCTATTGTCACCCAGACCGACTGGACCTTCGCCTTGGTGAACTGAGGTACCACACTGAGGCAAAGGCCAGATTCTGTGGGCACACTGGGGACTCAGAGGTGCCCCACAGCCTAGACCCTCAGTGTCTCAGGCTCCCAGGCACAGGCTCAGATGTCAGAAGGCTCTTCAGCTCTGGGAGCCTGCAATGTATGGGAGGGTGGGGTGGGTGGATGGCTCCCTACCCCCTCTAGAACTTCCGTTCTTGTTCACCTCAGAAGCTAACCCCACTTGTCCCATACTCCAGAAACCCTGTTCTTCAGGAAAAGACAAAGACAGCAGGCTGCACGTTCAGCCAATTGGCAAACTATGGGCACACTGAAGGTCATAGAAGTTAGTAGGACTGGCTCTGAAGAAAAATGACCAGAAACAAGTCATCTCATCTCCTTGTTCTAACTACAAATTGGAGATGATGTTTCTTACCACATGGGCCTGCAGGAAAGCCCCTGAAATGCTCCCCAGAAAATAACTATCCTCAGTTCATCACTAGACCCTAGTTCTGCACATTCCCCCACTTTCCTTGAGCCTTGGTATTGAACTTTGGGCCTTGCACATGCTAGGTAAGCTCTCCACCAGTGAATCACACCCTAAACGACCCCCCCCCCATGGGCACCAATCTAGAACTTAAAAACTTTCAGAATAAGAAAATGAAGGCCACAGGAAAGAGATAGAAGAGGTGGACAAAGGGCAACCCCAGTCTCATTTTCTTCTCTTCCTCCTCCCACAGCTGACTGCCCTAGGAGAAGGGCAGCCACTAGGGGAAGAATCCAAAATGCTAGGCTGGCTTCCTAATCGCTACACATGAAAACTCTCACAATAACACATCTGTGTGTGGTGTAAGGGCAATACCAAGCACTTTGGCATGACACCATTTGAATCAGCAAACAAAGGTGCAGCATTCTCCTGAAGGGCTCAAGGGCTGTGTCGACACTACTGAAGGAGCCACCTAGAAGCAACCACTTACAACCCTCTGGGAAATGGGCACAGCAAGTTCTAGTAGCAGTCACTACAATGCCACATGCATGGTCTGTAGTGCTGTCTTGGCAAGGGGAAGGTGATACCAGATCTCACATTCTTCTGGGAGATGTCACAAATAAGGAATAGTGGGGGCCCTCATGGGCATAAGCCAGACCTCATCCTGCTTCTACATTTCTTGAATGCCCAGAACAAAGCTAGAACTTGGAAGGAACTTGATACACACTGCTGATTAATTCAGATGAACCTAGCACCTTCGGAAGACCCTCTGTGTCTTACTGCACAGACTTCAAAAAACATTTACACATTTGGAGGTCCTGGATCGGACAGCCCTAAGTCACAATACACTCACAAAGTGCATCCCTGGCTCTGGACTCTCATGTCCCACCAACTTTTAGCCTTCTTTCTACCTGGAACCCTCATAAAGAGCCCTCTTGGTCCAGGACAGCTTGATAACAGACAGGTAAGGGGCAAAGAGGAGAGACAGTTCTACCTTTTGCCCAGGCCTGCTTGCATTTTGTTCCCATTTATGGCAATGATCAGCAATTTTAGGTCTTTTTACGCCAACTCCCACATCCTGTATCAGACAGCATGTGCCCATCCCTACTCCCCAAGTAGACTGTGCCAAGATTGCAAGAAGATAAGCAACACGAACTGCCTTTAAAAGCTTTTTCACTTCATCTGAGACCCTCTTGGCAGAGGAACAAATTCCTGCCCAGCAGGGGAATGGAGAGACTTGAAACCGAGCTTTCTACCATGGGTATCCTTGAAACCCCACATAAAAGAGCAAGAAGGCAGGAGAAAGCCCATCTAGAAGTCTCCTACTGAGTGCCAAGCTCAGGAAGCACGGTGAGCTGCAGCCCTGTCCCCTTTCCTCCTCCAGTCTCAACTCTGGGGCCAATTCTGGAACTGTTAAGCAATACTGCCCTATGCCCTCCCTGGGGCTACTCAGCTTCTTCAAGGATTCTGTAGAAAGTGATCCAAAGGGAAACAGTATTCAAGGAAGCAGCAGCTGCTTCTGATGAACTGGAGAGGAAGCGCACAGGCCACAGCCCTCCCCAGGTCCTACCTGCACAATGTCCAGCACCATGCCGGCAGCCACAGTCCCAAAGCCTGCCAGGAGGAAGGGGAATAGCACTTGCAGCCCGATGGAAAAGGAAGTCTCCTTGAGCGGGGAGGGTGGTGCAGGGCCACGGTCTGTGCTGACGTCGTCACTTTCGTTGCTCTGGCTCCCGTTCTCCAGCAGGGCGTCCTCCTCCCGAACCCCCTTGGCGTTGGCCCGAGACTCAATTACCACCACCTCCTCCCCAGCCCCATCAGGCCCCAGGAACTCTGCCGTCCCAGCCAAGGGCTCGCGCCCGGGGCCATCTGAAGAACAGGGAGAGGGAGTAGGGCCAGTCCCGTTCAGCTGGTGGACGTCCTTTGGCTCCAGCTTAGAGGACATGACGGGCAGGGAGGAGAGGAGAGGAGTACTTTCTTTTCCCACTTTTTTGCTCTCCCTCTCTAACTTGGGAAAGAACTTAGTCTTGGGGTAAACCCAGGCTTGTCCCTTGGCTCTCTGCTCCTACCAGGCACTGCAAAAACTGATCCACCAACAGGCAGCCCCATCAAGCACTGCAGCCTAAGCTGAGGAAAAACAAGAGATGAAGTCGCCTGCCACTAGTGGTGCAGATGCCTGCCTGGGGTTCTCCTGGGTCGTACTTGGGGAAATTAGTCTGGCCTCTTATCTTCTTTGGTTCTCAGCAGCGGGCTCTTCAGAGCAAGAGGCATCCAGAGAAGGGCCCAACCCAAGTTTGAAGTGGCCCCTGAGGTGGGCTCTTCCTGGTGAAAAGTAGACTGAGTTCAGATCTTTTGGAACTGATCTTTTGGAGCTGGGGCTCCTTCCCACTCCTCCTGCTGGGTTCTGTCAGCTTTCCACAGTGCCTCAAGCTTGGCTGGTCCCAGGGCTGTGTCTGCTCTCTGTCCCCTCTCTTCCCAAGATTTCCTCCTTTCCTGGGAAGATCTGGTACCTCCCCAATTGTGTGGTCCTTAAAGTCACGAGAATCTGTGTGGAACACCTTATGTGGGAAGAAGAAAAAAAGAGAGAATGTTACCACACCACAAAGAACAACTCATGCTGACATAATTCTCCCCAAAGGCAGTTAGTAGTTCGCTACAGAATTTGCTACTTGACTCCTTCTTTCCTCTAAAATTACTTGTCCTGCCTTGCTACCTGTATCCCTGGAGGCTGAGCAGGTGCTATCTGCACAGTCTCCACAAGCAGCAACCCACTGTTTCCTAGAAAAGTGCTAGGAGCCCCCCGACCCAGCACTGCCCTCCTTGCAGCAATGGGTGGGTAGGGTTGTCTTCAGGGAGGACCATTCTTGAACCCCATTAAGAGCTCAGCATTATTTAAGTGTGAACTCTAAATGGGGTACATTACAAATTCAGTTACAAACTCCTCATGCAGCCACTCAATCATCCCAGGACAGCAACAGTAGGACAGTTACACAGGGCAACTAAACAGGGAGGCTTTGGCCACTGAGTGAAGACCCTCAGACCCTGAAAGGCCCTTGCCCCCAGGAAAATGGAAACTAAGAGGACTGCCCAGGCAGTGGGGCAAGCCTGCCAAATGAAGGCCAAGAGCCAGAGGCCTGCCCACTCCTGCCCTTGAGAGTCAACAGCGCTACAAAAAGTTCAGACGCTGACTTGGGTCCAGGCCTCTGTCCCTGCTTTTCTCTCTCTGTGCGTGGCCCTGTGAGTTGTCAGATAGGATGGACAGTTATCTCCATTTGAAAGGCCAGAAGGGTAAGCTGTTGGTTATGACCCACACATTTGAGTAGCCTCAGTTCATCCTGTTCCCACGGTTACTGAGCATTGGATATAGTAGAATTCATAAGAACAAAAGCAAAAAGCTGAAAGCATCAAGGAGAGAGAGAGAGAGAGAGAGAGAGAGAAAACCCCAAGTGCCCTAAGCTAATATGCACTTGCCCCCAAATCACCTCTTTGGCTGTCAAGGCCCCACTTTTCTTTGCCTAAAGGAACCCCCAGGCTTCCATCCCACCTTGTTCCCTTTTACCAGAACAGCTCTCACAAGAATATATATATATATATATATATATATATATATATATTTTTTTTTTTTTTAAAGAGGGTTTCTACAGGTAATGAACAAGCCCTTAAGTATTCCAAACACTCAATTAGTCAACTCCAGTTCGGGAAAGGTTGAATCAAATCCCAGGAATTGGCCCAAGGGAACTGTTTCTTTTTCCTGTCAATTCAAGTCACCCGCCAGGACCCTCTCCCGTCTCCTGAAGCTCGGCACTGGTTCTCTCAAAGATCTTGCCACAGAGTCAGGAGGAAAGCCCCGAGTCTGCTGCCCCTATGCCAGAAAAGTTTCTCAGTCTGCTAAAACCTGACGCCCCCGCCCCCTCCGGTCTTCTGGCAGACACTTAACCTGAAAGAGGGCTCCAGGGACCGACCTCCTGCTGCCAGGCACGCACCCACTCCCCCGGGGCGGACACTTCCGAAGGGCCTCAGGCCCTGGAGCACCCCATCCCCTCCTCCCAGGCGGGGACGGAAAAAGCTCCGATTCGTCTCCCCACTCGTGGAGGGGGAGAATGACTGGGTGGCCTCCGCCGTCTCTCCACGCTCAGACTCAGCAAATGCGCAGCGTGCCAGGTCTCCCGCCCCCAGACCCACCCCACTGACCTGCCCCTCGCGTGGGAGGAAGGGGGCGCCTGGAGAGCTGCAGCAGGGGCCCGTGGTCTCGGGGGATGACGGGTACCCCCTCTTCTCATCACTCCTCCTCCTGGCAGTGCTTCTCGGCCCCCGCCTACCCCCCACACCCCCAGCCAAGCGAGCGTCCAGCCGAGACACCCGGCTCGCTACATCTCGCTGGAACGTTACAGCGAGGCCGCCGCTCGGCTTTCACGAGTGGGAGGTGGCTAGAAAGACAGGATATAGCGCCCCGGGCCGGCGGTGGGGGGGGTACCCGACGAGGGACGGGGAGCCGAGCTCACTCGCCCCCAATCGCTTTTTGCCCGCGGACTTGGGCCCGACTGGTTGGCTGCCGGTGGCAAACGTGATCTGGGGCAGACTGGGTGGTACCCCCCACTTCCATCAAAAATAGCTTTCGGATGGACAGCTGAGGCAGCCAATAGGGAACCGGGGAGGGGCAAGCCCGGCCTCTGCCCCCGCCCCTTTCCTTCGCTTCTTGCGCTGAAGGCGGGGCGCTGGGGAGACGCAGGACTAGGAGTGCCGGGAACTGCAGCCAGCTCTGCCGGTAGCTGGCTCGCGGGTGGGTCCCAGCGCCCGTCCGTCGGCTGGTGGCCCGAAGCGTCCATCACTCTCGCTCCTGCTTCGCTGTACCGGGGTTTCCGTGGCCTTTGAGAGGCCGGTGCACTTGTACCCCACATATTGAGAGTGTCCTCTGCGCTTCTGGCCTTCTGGGAGGCCCGCGAGCATCCCGCGCTGGACCCGACCGTACCTACCTTGTCCTTGGACCCGGTTCTGTGTTCTTTCCGCCGCTTGTCGCCTCGCGCTTACACCAGGTCCCGAGTTCCTCTAAGCAAATGGCTCAGCCCTGAACCTATCTGGCCTTAATATATTGTCTCAGCTTCGAAAGAGCAGGGAATGGGAGGGAGGGAGGCCACAGAGGTCAGGTTCACGGCTGGGGTCCTGCCTACCTCACCTGAGATGAGAGCGGAGGGGAGTTTTTTGTCCAAATGGGGCATCCCGGGCAAAATAAAATCCAACTTTCCCTGACGTACCTAAGGGCATCAAAGAGGGATTGTTTCCGCCTCGCCTTTTACCACTTCCTCCCAGGGGTATCTCCACCTCCCCAACGCAAACTCTGTACCAGTGCTCTTTGGGATGTTTTTGGGCAGTGGGTGTGACATCGCCTGTAAAGAAACCTTTCCCTACTCTCAGCTTTTTCCTTTTGATCATTGGAACCTGTGACCAGTGATTTCTTCCTGCCTTTTCCTCTGGGAAAGCGGCTCAGGGGGGCGCTGGAGTTGGACTCCAGGGCCCTGTTTGGAGTTTGGAGCCGATATGGGTTGGTGTGCACACAACCTGAGTAGATCTTTCCTTTGAACTAGCGCGATAAATACGTGCACAAAACCCCACCCTGCAACCCAGCACCTTTAGGATTATTCCAATTCAGCTGCTTGGGCATTGGCGAGGGCTTTCCGTCTCACAGGACCCAGCAAAGCAAATGTCAGTGATTTAGAAACCAAATTTTAGCTTTTGAGGCTGAGTCCTTCCGCCAAGAGATAGAAATAGCTCTAAGACGGGGAAAACACTAGGCCTCCTCCTGAAGGATCAGGTTTATGATTAGGGGGTGTAGAGTTAGGTGGGGAGTTAAGACTGATGTATCGAGAGACTTCAGTCAGAGGCTGGAGACAACTTCTGCCCTTCTCTATTCAACAGAGCCCTCTCCCTCTTTAGTCTTTCCAGAGTTAAGCTACCTATACATAAAATCTTAATCTCCCCCCCTTTTTCCCCATTTCTGTATTTTAGCCACTTGAGAAGTTCTCCTGTCCTGTAGGTGCTTTTCATTTTTAATTGAAGCGTACCTGACATGAGAATGTGCCTAAGTGTCCCAATTAACAGGTTATAGTGGGGCATGGTGGCACACGTATGTAATCCCAGCCTTGGGAAACTGAGGCAGAAGGATCACTCTGAGTTCAAGGACAGCTTGGGCTAAATAGCGAGTTCAACACCAGCCTGGACTACACAGTGAGATCCTATTTTAAAAACCCAACCAGCAAACAAACAGATTAACAAGTTATAACAGTGAACAGACCTATGCTAGCCACTATCCAGATCAAGAATTAGATCATTGTTAGTACCGCAGAAGCCCTCCTGGCTCTTCTGTCTCTACCTCACCCCCATTTCCAAAGATGACCTTTGTCTAACACTATGGAGGTGTTTGGTCTGCCTGCTTTGTGAATTTTATATAAATGGAATGATTCAGTAGGTATTACTTAATGTCTGCTTTCTTTCTTTGTACCAGGAATCAAACTCAGGACCTTGTGCTTGCCAGGCAGGTGCTGTGCTGCTGAGCTACATCCCCAGCCCTCATGTCTAGTTTCTTTTACTCAATATTTGTGAAACTCATCCATAATATGTGGTAGCAGTTCATTCATTTTTCTATTATTGCATACTATGCCATTAAATGGATCTACCACAATTT